ACTGTTTATGTACGTGATGGAATGCATAACTTTTTTTGTTTCAACAACGTCTCACCCGGCACAGTGGCCGTAAACTCTTAAATATATTTTGCGTCGTACTAAAAATATAACTTGACATACGTATTTATAAATAATTTATTTTCAAATTACATCATTTCTATGACCAAGGGCGGCATAAGGCATGGGCAACTTGGGCCACCGCCTATGCCTCGCGGTCCGAAGGGCCTCGCGTTTCGAAGGTTTATACATTACTTAATTAAAAGCCGCGAACGCGACGAAAAAATTTTACTCGTCATAAAACGATAAATAGTTTGTCAAATTTTTATTCATAAAAATGCAGTTTCAACTGCTTTTTATTTTATAAAATCCGTCTTCTTGCGCCACCAGAGGGCCTTTTAAACAATAGGTAGTCTGTTGGCGCTGGTCAGTAGTAGTCCAAATTCAATACAAACATTTGTTTCTTGAAAATTTGATCACGATTTAAATACAGTATTTACTTTTAATATTACCGATATGCCATCGAAACGAAAACGTGCTGTATTAACATTAAAAGACAAATTAAAGTATTTGTTTCGATTATCCGAATTTTTCCTTATCCGGACTACCTTCATCCCCAATTAGTCGAATAATCGAGGTTCTACTGTATATATAATATCGTTTAATTAATTCTTATTATAATATTTTTTACTCAAAAACAATTTAATATAAAACTTTCTTGTAATATTATTAAAGAAACATAGTTTATGCATCGTTTCTATGAACTTTTCTTATAAGTAATGTTATGTTTAATTCAAATGGCAGCGAAATTAATTATTAATAATCATTCAGAAGTAATGAGTTATTTAGTAACAAGGAAGGAATTTGTTTCTAGAATAATACATAATCTGCTTTAATTTAGGCCTGTAATGTAGACAATGACTAGCAATTACATTTAAAATTAATTTTAATTTATATCAGAGATAAGATTTTTATGAAGCAAAGATAATTTTTCTTCTTTTTTTTTATTATTAAAGCATTAGTTATTATTCTAAAGTTTATAAGTAAAATTTTTAAAAAGTTGTCTTCAACAATTTGAATAATTAGCATTTAAATTTTTGAATAATCAATTGTTAAAATTATATATAAAATAAAAATTATAATTCTAAACAGCCTATTTACAAGAACTAGATATTGAATATCAATTTTCAGACTTTGCATCTAAAAACTGAGTTTGAATAGAATAGCTTTACGAAAAATGCAATGCATTGTTTGAACTAAAATACATTTTGACTAGGTTGCATGCAAGGGGCTATCCATGAATTACGACCACATTTTCCTTGAAATTTTTACTCCCCCTCTCGTCCCAGTTTTTCAAAGTTTCCGTAACCCCCTCCCCTCTTCGGACGCCCAACAAAACTCAATCCCCCTTAAAACCTTTATCACTTTATGAATGATAGATACCATACGTAGAAACAAAACACAAATAAATTTTGAATATAATAAAATGCATAAAACCATAAAATTTAATGAATTAAATGAACGTTCACTGATGCTCAACCTCTCCCATCTCCCTTGTCCGACTTGTCATACCCCCCCTTCCAGTATGGATGTCATTTACGGACACATCCCTAATTATATATTATTTAGAGTCTCTATTTTTTTAACTTAACCGTAAAAAATAATAAAATATTTAGGAAATTGAATAATTTACTAAATTAAAAATATTAAGTGTCCATAATCCCAAGTGATTTATAGCTCTGCATTTATATATTATAATAGTTTGTGCGAAGGAAAAAAATGCAACTCGAAATATTTGAAGCAGCAGATCATTAAAATTCATCAAATCATCAGACCGGAGGAGAGTCTGAAGCAGCAACTTAAGGGCAATTGGCTAAACACGTGCAGGTGGTTGACGCACGATGTCACCTGCTCTAACGGCCCTTACAAAAGGACAGATGGTATACGAGCTTGTTTACTTCCTTAACTGGAAAACATTCTGAAAATATGGCACGACTTTTTACATGCTATTTATGCCATCAAGCCAGACTTGATAATTCTTCAAGTTATTTTAACAGTGTATAATTTTAAGTGAACAATATATGAAATTTTATTCATTCGTATATATTTTTATAGTAAACTTTAAATTCTTTTTATTGGTATATAATTATAATAAATATAACTAATATAATAAACTGGAAAATATTTCGATGGCAAAAAAAACATCTGTAATAACATAAAAACTGCAATCCTATGTTAACGAATATGCAACATAAGGAACAAGCAATAGCAGCAGTAGCAAATACCAACAGTCAAGGTCATTGATCACGTCTTTCTCCTAAATATTTTCAATATGTTGTTATAATTCCAAATTCGCGTTTTCACTTTTATAACAAATATATTAAAATATCTTAAACTAACTTTATGCTTCAACGTATATTTAAACAATACAAAACAAAATGTAACTGATTCTATCATTAAGAAATCAATACATCAAAAATTATAGATCAATTTTACGCAATAAACAATTAATTAATTAATCAAAGTTGAAATATTCTTTTATGGCTTTTAAATCATATGTAAACTTTATATTCTATTTAAAAAATAATAAAATCTGATCAATTTTAAAACAAATTTAAAAACTTATTGATCAGTAAAAATATTTTAAACAATATTTGCAAAATAATGATCATTTAATTTATTCTTCATGTAATCACTGCATAGTTTATATACTGATTGCAAATTATTTTTTATTCCAGCAAAAATTAAATAGATCATGCTCTGAAGAGATTCAAGTTTTCAAACATTACAAAGATCATTAAACCTGAAAATTTTTGTAACATTAAAAATATGGTAAGCATTGGTAAGTTTTTTTATGAAGAAGTAATATTGCCTAATACTCATGTTTGATATTTTTATGAAAAAAATTATAAACAAAATTAAATAATCAATTTTATGAATTAAAATTAATTTACATAGATATTTAAATTTTTCTCAATAGTTTCAAGATTTTATGAAGCTTCTAGATCAACAGTGGTGAATCTATGCTCCTTGAAATACAGTGACCTACACAATGATTTCAAGGTATATTAAATGTTTAGAAAGTTTTAAGTTTTTTCTAATTATAAAAAGTATTTGATAAATTTCAAAATTTTGCATATGTAGTGTGAAAGTAGGGAAAGTTGTAAAAAGTCTTAAAAGCAACAAATTATGAACATCAGACTGAAAAATAATCATCAAATAAACAATAATTTCCCATTAAATACTTGTTTTGTAATGAAATTTGCGATTATAATGAAAATAATCGCAAATTAATCGCAATAAGTGATTAATTTAATTAATTAATTAATCACTTTAATTAATAAAAATATCGCAATTAATAAAAATAATCGCAAATAAGTGAAAATAAAATATGTGATTATTTACATATTTATTTTCACTTATATAGTTATTTATTAGTTATATACTGTAGTTATATATTGTTATTTTTGTGATCTAGATTAAGAAGTTAGAGTAAAATTTGTAAGCATTTTTTTTAATACTTTTTTAATTAATTACTCAAATATTTGACCCACAACTAGGTTCACCATAAATATTCTAAACCAGCCATACTCAACCTGTGATCCATCAAGCTTCTATGTGCAGCCTGTAATATTCACACTCATGAAGTACTTTTTTAAATTTCTATTGATTGGATAAAAGTTTTAAAACCTTAAAAGCCCTGGTCACACTATACGATTTCTAGCCGCACAGGTGACTGCAACTGCAACTGCAACAAGCGCAAGTCGTGTGCGTCTTCTCATGGTCACACATTGTTCGTTGATGTTGCAACTGGGAAACACGTGACCCTATAATAAACCAATAAAATTACAGTAGCTTGTTTTTGACTACTTTTGTGAGTTTGCTGATATTTTACATTCTACTTCAGAGTATTTATGGAATTTTAGTCACTTTTCTTATTAAAATAGCAAGCAGTTTCTTCTCTGGAATGAATAAAAGAAAAAAAGGTGATTATTTTGATAGAGCTGGAGCGAATACACGAAAAGATAAAATCTTCGATAAAATGAAGAATTAAAATCCCACAGGTATTCGTGAGCCTGAATAAGCTCGATCAATCTCGATTCTGTAAAAGTATTAATCCTCTAACTATCTGCCATGATGATGAACTATTTTCAATGTTGTCACTGTATGACATGGCACAAAGGCATTTGTTGATTGGATGCACGTTTGCAATCGTCGCGAGTAGAACAAACTTTTTGTTTCTAGTTGCAGTTGCAGTCGCGCCGGTTTTCAAGGAAGGATTACTAGTTAATGGAACAGCCATCGCGGTTGCAGTCGCATGCGCGGCTGGAAATCGCATAGTGTGACCAGGGCTTAAGATGCAGGCAACACGACCAGTTGGTATGCACATGCACAGTGCTCTTGGACCTATTGTTTGTTTTATTTATGTAACAACTTCATACAGTTTTGTTTCTTGTAATGTTAAATGTCAGCTACACTGAACTGATGCTGGTAACTGTTTTAATCTGTATTGTTTGTATGTCAAAAATAATTTGATTACCTACAATGATAAATGTATCTTCAAAATACAAACAAAAATATCCAAAGAAAATAGTGTTTCAAGACAACTGGGAAGAAGTATATTTTGTTGTACCAAATAAACACAGTTCAGCAACTTGTTTAAAAATATATAATGTAGATTGTCATTATACCAAGAAACACAAATCATTTAATGATGATTTTCCTGGTGTGTCTTTAATCAGATATTAACTTTCTTTAAGAAGTCATTGCAATAACAACAAAGTGTTATTTCAGTGGCATTATAACAAAATGCAGTGATGACAAGATCATATGAAATTTGTTACATATTTGGTAAACATTTGAAACCATATACAGTGGTGCCTCGTATAACATACGCCTCGAATAACGGATGCTGTGAACAACGGACTTTCTGTTTGGCCGTTACGTGATTCCAGCAACGGACTGGCTGCAAACATTTTTTTTTTTTTTTTTTCTTTGTTAATCATCATTTCCCCTACTGGGGATCAGCATCACCCTTGCCCCGCTATCTGCACCACAAGGGAGACTTTACTTTTATTCATTAATCTTTAAACCGTGTTACATTAAACAATATAAAAAAGTTTGTATAAGACTTTTATACAATAGGCTACTTGCCTTAGAATTTATCATTTGACAATCATTGGGGTACAACTCGCACCCCTTTAATTCACGACAATAACTTTCGCGTGAAGGACTTCAATTCACCCACAAGGTCTTTCTGTCGTAATACCATGTATAAGTCAATACCATTAGTTTGAAATGTCTGATTAGATAACAGTCTAAGCTGCATCCTATCTTGTTCATGTTTAAGACAGTCATCTAGAAGATGCTGTAGGTTGTGATCACCATTCTTGCAGTCACAGGAGATATCTTGTGTTCTGTTGACTCTTCTAAGATATTCTTTTGTCATGCAATGATTCGTAAGTAGTTGTGTCATGTAATAATCGGGTCTGAGCCATCTAAGCTCGTACATTCGTTCCTCAACACTTGGAAGCAGCCAGAAAGTGTGTCTTCCCTTGCTGCCGTTACTCCACTCATCCTGCCACTCATTAATAGTTAGTTGTCTTAATTGTCTTTTAATGTAGGATACTGGGATTCTATTATATGATATATCAGCCAGATTTGTAGCTGCTTTAGCAAGTGCATCTGCGCCTTCATTGCCGCTTATGCCGCAATGGGCCTTAACCCACTGGAACCTTACAGACATTTTACTATTCGTTATTAGAGTCTTGATATCAAGTGCTAATTGGCTTGTGTCATTAAACTGTTGCAGGGTCTGCAAGGCAGCCCTACTGTCCGTTAAAATCTTAACTCGGTCCAAACGTAGCGTATTAATGCACCATTTGATTGCACCCAGAATGGCCAGCAGCTCGGCCTGAAAAACCGAGCAGTGATCTCCTAGCCTTAGCTGTTGTTGATAGATGATTGCCTGATTCTCCTTCACCAGGAAGGCAGCACCAACCCGGCCGTCTACC